TCCCCCACTCTACAAATTTTCTGATGTGCCCCCCAGGTTGCCCCCCCACTGACAAATTTCCATGCGTTTGATAAAAAAAAATTTGATTAAAAAACAATGCCGTTAGAACAGTATATAAAAAGCAAGAGGTTTGGAACCACATCTCAGTAAAATTATATATTGCTGCCCCCCCCCACGAAAATGTAAGCGGCCCCCCCAGTGCCCCCGCCACTGAAAAATCCTAGCTACCGCCACTGCTTATCATATACCAAAGATTTTACACTTTCTTTTAAAAAAATTTCTCACCCAGAGCTACTGAAGATCAATTTTGTGCACCTTACCAACTGGCTATGAAAAACTGCAAAGTTCAGAAAGATGTGTAGACTCAATATCCAGGCATCTTATCCGTGGAGATGCGAACATTGAGGCGGTGACCGGGGTCGTGACAAGCAGTGAGGATTACTCCCCAGTTGTAGGTTGCTCATTGTGTTGAATAGCTTTTTACGCCAATAAACACTCTAGGTTAGTACCAACAAAACGGTTTTGTGTATAGCCGTGATGATGTAATTTAATATTTTTAGCGTCATTGTGTTAATAGTATTGAACAATATATATTAATAATAAAGTATTATACGTTTATTATTAGCTTTATATATGATTATATAGGAAGGCTACAAAAAGGGTAAACATACAGTAGACTTCAAGCACGTTTACTACGTTTCATAACTGCCCTATGAATTAGGTTATTTCTAACCACAGTCTAGTGAATACTTACGAAACACAACTATGTGACCCCGCTCCAAGAGTTTATACGGACTAAGCCGCAAGTCATTGTTTTGAGTAATGAGCACCAACACATGTCAATGCTGAAACATGCCTTACCTGCGACAAAAATAAGTCCTCAAGTGCATATTTAATCCGCGATATATAGCGTCAGATATCTTCTAGATTATTGATTGGTCATTTTTAATAAAAAATAAAATAATAAATATTTTGAAGGGCCCTGACGCTCAGCCCCGACTGGGCCCCCTTACCGGAACGCTTTATCTCAAAAGCTGCTCATTCCGCAATAAGCCGGTTTTCCCGATCTTCAATTTGCCTGTAGATCCAGTCAATTCATTTAGATTATAGCAAATATTAATATCATCTTAAGGTTAATTAAATGCAATCTATTCAGATTTGCACATAACATCAATTTGTAGAATTTCCTACTTATCACTGTTTTGCTGGTGAGCGAGTCCGGTCACATATATACAACCACCATAACATATATATAATACATACTAGTACATACCATACACACATATATATATATATATATACATATATGTTCATGCTAAATTTACTAAATCTAATCTAACGACTAATCTTATTAATCATAATCGTTCTGACAACCCCCCCCCCAAACATTCTCGACACCTGCGACTGGAGAATGTCCGGGACGTGGCCGGCGTCTGGCTGTGCCAGCAGGGATGCGGATGAAGGAATCCTGAACTCGCCAGTCGCCTTGCTTCCTAGCCGCTTGCCGCCAAACTCCGTGGCGACGCGCTTCTCGAGAGTCACGGATATGAGGTCGGTCGTGATGACGGTCGCATCCTCGCCCGTCAGCTTTTGCATCAGTATCGCCTCGGTGATGTCCTCAATGACCGCAAACGACTTCATCGCGACCTCCTTGCTCTGAAATGGAGAGATGATCACCCGCAGGTGCAGCAAGCGTGTTTAAATACATGATGCATACAAACACTCACTGTCAGCTACTGCTGCTGCTGCTGCTGCTGCTGATAATGATGCTACTGCTTCTGCTGATGATGACGACAATGCTGCTGCTGCTGCTGCTGATGATGATGATGCTACTGCTTCTGATGATGATGACGACGATGCTGCTGCTGATGATGATGACGATGCTGCTGCTGCTGCTACTGATGATGATGATGCTACTGCTTCTGATGATGATGACGACGATGCTGCTGCTGATGATGATGACGACAATGCTGCTGCTGCTGCTACTGATGATGATGATGCCACTGTTCCTGCTGCTGATGATGACGACAATGCTGCTGCTGCTGCTGATGATGATGATGATGACGACGATGCTGCTGCTGCTGCTGATGATAATGATGATGCTGCTGATTATGACGACGATGCTGCTGCTGCTGCTCCTGCTGCTGATGATGCTGCTACTGCTACTGCTGCTGCTGCTACTGCTGCTGCTGATGATGGTGACAACTGTGATGGTGCTGCTAATGATGATGATGACGATGATGGTGCTGCTATAAATGTTGTTTTATTGCTGCTGCTGTTGTTATTGTTGTTCTTGTTGTTGTTTGTGTTGTTGTCGTTGTCATTCTTGTTGCTGCTGCTAATGATGATGACAATGATGACGATGTTACTGCTACTATATACCACTGCTACATATTTATATATGCACCTGTTGTAAAATCTGTTCATCTGATCGATCATCATCCAGGGAGACATCCTGATCTTGTGGCACACTGGCTTCCCCTGCATATGTATCGTTGACCTCAACGATGGCCACCAGACTACTCGTCCTGACTTTCGCCGCAGCAGACATGGAGCCCGTGATGATACCCGAAATGCCACTTATTAGGAATCTGTGAAGCAAACGCGAAAACAGGTTTGTGAATTATATACCATGGTTATGTCACCGGCAGTGACATCATCCATACAATGGACTTAGCCGCTTTAGCTGGGATAAGCACGCCTGCGTTATGTGTTGTACAGTATGAACAAACTCAACTGAGTTTTCAGTCTGATCTGGATAACGTCCCTCGCTTCTGGATATTGTTGCTAGGTCAGTCAAGTTCACACAGTTTGTATGCATTTTCCACACACGTATGCCATATTATCGACTTTGGCACACTCTGTTACTAAGCAGCATTTTCGATGTCTTATTGCAATGCTGACTGGTCAAAGCTGTCAGTCAATTACTCTAGATGTATCTCTGTAACCGTTTGTATGTTTCTTTTTCTTTTTCTTTTATAAACATGCGTGTACTTGACCATATCTAACAGTATAACTATTACATAAACATGCGTGCACTTGACCGTATCTAGCAGTATAACTATTACATAAACATGCGTGTACTTGACCATATCTAACAGTATAACTATTACATAAACATGCGTGCACTTGACCATATCTAACAGTATAACTATTAGATAAACATGCGTGTACTTGGCCGTATCTAGCAGTATAACTATTACATAAACATGCGTGTACTTGGCCGTATCTAGCAGCTCCACATCATCGATGCCATGCTCCTGCGACTTGGTCTTAACGAATTTTCCCATGTCCTCAAATATGCTGACAGCGATCACCTGATTTACATAAAATACAATGTATTATAAATTACAATTTAAAATTATAATATTTATTGTAGGGAAATGTGTTATAACTGTACTAATTAATGGGATTCGTGTGAAATGGGATTCGTGTGAAATATTATGAAACTTTTTTCAATTAATAAATTAATAAATATCAGTAACAACAGCACACATCATGCAAAGGCACTGAACTCTGTGTGTGTGAACACAGGTTTGACTGTATCCATGGTTCATACGCCTAATGCAAAATGTTTTTCATTTCACAGGCTGGTCGTTGCTGGTGCAATCATCACATTTGAATCTGTCTTGACAGGACAATGTGATATGTGGTGTACGCAGGGGGGATATATGTTGATATACACCTGTGCTTCTGGAGACACCTCCTCACTGACAGCTGTAACTTGACTCAGCATGGATGACGTCTGCTTGAGAGCACCTAGACTGTGCAATGATGTCTGCTGCAGCGCCTTCACTATGGACGTCCTAATCTGCAAGGCAATCAGTGGCAGTCTATGGGTGACGTCACAAGCTAGTGATCAAGTTACGCGCATTTACGTAAGGAAAATAACTAACAATAATAATTCGTACTAAAGTAGAATCTATATTTATCTGAGAATAGCATCAATAATACAATATACAGTAATACAAGGCAACCACATATCATGTATAACCACGAAGATAGACATCTACACAACATGCATACATGCACAACTGAATGTATATGTACAATGTATAAAACAATGATAGATACATTCATGGTGTAAAATATGTACAGGAATGAATAACAAGTGCCGCATAGCGACAGCGCTCATCTAACGTCTACTGCGGTGACTCTGTGGTGGAGTGTTGGGATTCTAGTAAACCCTGTTAGTCCCAAATGTGTTCACATACACGCCGAAACAGTGGAATGCACAGGGATGGTATCAGGAACCTTCTCAAAAGAATGTTCGTTGGGATCGTTATGAAAGTTGCCACGTTGCCACGTTTAAGTGTCTTCAGATTAAAGATGGAAGCTCCCATCATAC